CTAGTGGATTTTGATGACTCAAGCATAAAAAAAGTCTCAATTGTGGGACAAAAAAGAAAGCCTCATCCCGGAAGAAATAATCCCTCGGATAATTTCAGAACAGCTATTTCAGCTATTTCAGCTATCTCAAGAAGACATAAAGTCAACTTCTTATTTGATATAATTTGGGCATAAAATGCACATAGTCTACACATAAATAAAAAAAAGATTTGAAAATGGGATACAAAAAAAGGTTTTTATTCTGAACTAACAGTTGTGACCTAGGGTTTCCACTTTCTGTTTTGTTAAGGCATTCATCTAGAAAGAAAAAGAAGTTGATAAAACAATTAAAAGTGAGAAAGTTCCCTGAGTTTACTTTTCTTTTCTAGAAACCACTAATAAAATAGATTATGGTCAAGAAAAAGGGAGTTTAGGGAGATGACTTCAGGAGGGAGATAGGATTGCCTAACTTAATTGCTATTTCCTTTTCTCCCCCCCCCACCCCCTTAATCCTGAGAAGAAAAACAAAGGTCAAATGGCCCAAAGCACCAACTCAGAAACAAAACAGGCAGGGGCAAACCAGTTTTAAGTAAAAAAAATAAATAAGCGCCAGTCGTTTTTTGCTTTTTGTTTTTTGTGTTTTTTTTTTTTTAATTGAATGGCTGGGAACAGTGGGAGAAAAAACAGTCACTGTCCAAGTATTCCTGGTGATCAAGCACAGAGATAAGGGAAAAAACTCTTTTTACATTTGTTTAAATTCAACAAATGTACATAAAGCAGGCACAATGTGTCCAGGGTTTTCTGAAGCACAATGTTAAATAATAATTAAATTGGAAAGAAAGATGGAGGGGAAAGGAACAGAGTTCTACAACATTAGCCAGAACTTACAAGTAGAAAAGAGTGAGAAGTCAAGGAATCTAGTCTTTCTTTAACTTTCTCCCATGTCTGACCAGCCAGGAAACCAAATAACTAGTGTGAGAACACCTCCTGCCACCACTCAGAGACCTTTCTCCACAGTATTTCATACACAAGAAACCAAACTATTATTCATTCAACAAACATACACTGAGCTTTTACTGCTACCACTCTCTGTTTTAGATATCTGGGGGAGTATAGATGCTGAGGACCAACTCAGACCTATGGTACCTAAATCTCTAATTTTAAATCATATTTTTTATGCCCAGATGATTAATAATAATCATCTAAGAATCATCCCGATCTGGAAACTCCCACTTTGGGAGATACAAAAGTGAGTAAGTTCTTTGATGTCAAGGAGCTCACGTAAGTGATAGGCAAATACATGAATTCTCAAAAAACAAAGTTAAAAACGAAACATGTTATGAGAAGAAGAGATTCCTTGTTGTGGACATTCAAAGGAGGCTGAAAGGGTGTTCTCATGGGAGTTGCAGAGGGCATGAAGGAGGGCCTCACAGAAACAGGTATATTTGTGTTAGGACAGTTACCATTTGAACATGTACAGCAGGAGGAGGAAAAATCCATTGTTATAACCATTAATAAGAAGAAACAGGTCTCCAGTGTTTTTTGAGAACTAGGCCCTGTCCTGAGTACCTTACATAAATCTCCTCTTAAATCTCACCTAAGCCAGTCAAGTAAGTCCTATTATCTCCCCATGTTGCACATGGAGGAAGCAAACCTCAGAAAGTTCATGTAATGTGTTCACAGTCACACAGCCAGAGCCTGAGGAGGTAAATTTCATGCCAGAGCCCACCTGCCTCCTAGAGAATAAACAAAACCCAGGTAGGCAAAAGTATCAGGTACAGAAGACCAAATAGCCATTTTCCCTCTGGCGGGAGGGTGGTGAGTCAGGGAGACAGCGCCAGGAAAGCTAAGGGGGAGCCAGGTTGTGGATGCTGCATTCAGCTATGTGGGCTTTATAAGGCAGCAAGGAGAAACCACTGAAGGTTTCTGAGCAGAGAATACGATGATGAAAGTTCTATCTTGGGCTTTGGGCTATGAATCATGCATGAGTTGTATCATACAATCTGAAATGATAAAAATTGAGGTTTTAAGAGTCTCACCCTGTGTTTAAACAGAAAGGCAGGGCTAGGAACCAAGGAGGACCACTGCCTCATAGCTGTCCAAATTCTCAACATGCCGGTTCTCAAGGAATATTCTACAGAGCAGAGCTTAAGATAAACACAGTGAGTGTCTATAACACCACAGGACAAGGATCTACTCATCCCTGGAGCTGTCCAAATCTGGCCGAAGGATAGCCCTGAGGACTGCAGCATTCCCTGGGACCTGAGGCGACCCAATGGGGGCAGTGGGCACAGCACAGCCATGGGCATCAGTTATTGGCAAAGGCCAGACTCCCAACTATCACTCCTGGGCTCATTTCATCAAATCACGTTGGCTCTGCCCTTAAATATGCAACACTGAATGAGCCCCTTTCCCTCTCCAGCTCTCCCTTTCCTCATCAGTGAAATGAGAAATGGAACTTGTCGGGACTCGGATTTCATAATTCTCGATACATCTTCCTCTCCTACACACCAGTAGAAAGGATCTGCTTCCATCAGTGGCTCACTAACTGGGATCTGGCGGGGGAGGCGCAGCTCCTGAGAGCCTCTACAGCTGGTAGATCCTAACATGAAAATAACTGTGCTTCCTTATCTCTAGGAAGCCCACTAGTTCCGGCTGTATTATAGGATTCACGGTGCTTGAATTCTGGCTGCAAACTCCTCATTGTGGAGTGGCCCAGAATTATCCTTCTCAAGAGCAAACGGGATCGCTGAGGTCCAAAGTAATTCAACAACATGAGGGGCCATGCTCATATCCCAGCACATCCAGGGAACTCCACATTCTATCACCAGGGAGCAAACACTTCTGAATCCATACTTGTCAGAGCCTGACAGTACTCTGTTGTTATTTGAGAGTTTTATTTTACTCTCAAAGGATGGTATCTGCATGCATGGGTGCGTGCGTACGTGCATGTGTTTATGATTAAAATTCCCAGGAAGCCAAGCAGAGACTGAAACTGTGGAGTTCTTGGGAGAGGAGAGGGAAGAACCATGGTACACCTTCTTACACGTTCACGGAGACACTCTTACACACTCAACCATCAGAAATGAATTTCCAAAGAAATACAAATTAATTCCTCCTTAAGAGATTATCAGTTATGTAGATGCAAGAAGCTTTGCTTATTAGAAGATACTTGCTCTGTTCTCAGAAACACTGCTGGTCAAACAGAAGTTAGCACATGGGTTCACATATTTGGGGGAGAACTTCTTAAACTACGTTGGTTCATGAGATCATACCCAACAGTTCACCCACAGAGGTGCCCATGAGTGACTAATTCCTATAACCAATTCACTGTAAAACTCTGAGGCATCTAAAACGTATAGCTTCACCTTCTTTGACCGCCGACCGGGGGACTGAAGCTGAATGACTGATCAACATTAACATTAACAGTGATGTGAGCTTAATTACAGAACTAAAGAAACCCACATTTTAAGAGTTACCTCATAGTTATTTATTTTTATAAGATTGGAGAAGAACGAGAAAGGAAAATCTCTCCAAGATGTGTGACAGAACTATCAGCAAGACTGCCAACCTCACATCTTGAGACTCCGGGGAAGACTGGGCTATTGGGACCAAACTTGACCACCCACGTTCTATCCTGGGAACTGGCTCAGGATATATTCTGCTGTCAGGTACTTAAGGTCTCCACCCTCTCTGCTATTGACTGATTTCTCTAAGACCACCAAAAATTAGGCCATTCAACCAAAAAAGATCAGATTTATACTTAATGCATGGTTTAGCAAATTCATCAAGAGGCAAAAACAAGCAGGAGACAAATCCTGAAAAGGATTCAGGCTTGATCCTTATTTCTTACCCAAAATATTAGTCTAGTGAGCCCCAGCCCCTCAGCCCTATCACCGGGACTTAAGAGTTTGTCTCAGTTGTGATTTCCTGAACTCCACAAATGACTGCACATGTCCAGTCTCCTTCCCACCAGAGCACAGACTTTGTGGGATGGTGTGCACGTGGATTTGTACATGGTGTGTATTTTTGCTACCCTAGAAATACAGCCTGGTCTACTGGCTAAAGCTAAGGGGGGGCACCCCACAAAGCTGCCAATTCAGCAGGTGTAGAGGAGACACTGATCTATTGACGAAAAAGCCAGAAAGTGGGGGTTGGGGGAGAAAGTAAAAGTTCAGAGCAACATGGATTGGGAGAGGGGTTTTTCCAGAAACACAGACTAAATTCTCTCTGTGAAGCATCCAGATAGATCTTCAAAGTTGCAAAAATACCAATATACACCGTATACCTCCTGACACTAACTTCAGGCAGGTTGAATCCCCCCCCCAACACACACACAAAATAAAACCCAAAGGACAGTACTGGGCATCTGATGTCAAATAACTCACTCCAATACTTACCTCCAGAAATCAGAAGCCCTCTACTAAAGGAGGCAAAGTCAGCACTTGGGTAGATACTTTTAGAGAGTTTGCCTCACACAGATTCACCTCTCCCACTACACCTTCTCTTTAACTTTTGATCTTTACTGTTCTGTAGGTGCAGGGGAGAATAGAGGATAACAAATTTGGTCCAGAGCAAGTAAACTTTTAACTCTGCTTTATGAGGATGTTCTCTTGTAAATTTCAGAAAAAAAAGGTGTAGACTGAAGTGCAGGAGGGATGAGGGAGTGGAGAAGGAAGAGAAACGGGGATGAGGTTAGACCAAGAAATGGAGCGAGAGAAGACCTTACACTAGACCCAGCTCCGCCAAAGCCTCAGCAATTAGTGCTGAATGGGTACTTTAAGCATCATCTTATCAATGCAGTCCTCTTCCAGAGACAAGTTGATGCCCAAGGAGCTAATGGCTTGCGCAGGTTCCAGCTACTGTTTGTTACAGAGCCTGGGCCACCAGATACCTACATGCACAAACATGGGACAGGTTCAAGGAGACCCACACTGAAAGGTTAACGAGCAGAGCGCCGGCTCGGGGACTGGGGCGGTGGGGAGGGCTCGCAGGGGGCGTTAGCTGTGCGCTCTGCGTACCTTGATGTAGGCCCGCTGCAGGTAGTTGTAGGGCACTCTGCGCTGGAAGTCGCTGCGCACATCCTCGCTGACGCGGTGGCGGGACGCGGGGCCCCCGAGGCGCTGAGTCTGGCAGCTGCGGTAGCAGCGCGCCCGCTCCAGCAGCGCGCGGAAGAAAGGCAGCTCGGCCGCGGGGCTGGCGCCGGGGGGCGCGAGCCGGCGGCGCGCGGCGCAGTGGCGGGCGCAGCGCGCGCGGACCTCCCGCAGGCGCCGGTGGCTGCGCAGCGCCGCTTCCAAGTCGCGCACCGCTTGCTCGTAGTCCTCGCTGTAGTAGGCGGCCACGCCGCTAGCGTAGAGCAGGTCGAAGGGCTGCAGAGGCCCGGGCTCGCGCGGCGGCTCCGGGCGCGGGCTGTCCGGGGGGCCGCCCCACAGCGGCGGCGGGAGCAGCAGCAGCAGCAGCAGCGGCAGCGGCGGCGGCGCCCAGATGCGCTCCCGCATCCTCCGGCGCGGAGAGGCGCGGGACGGCCACGCACCAAGACGGCTGCCGGCACCTGGAGTCAGGGCCCTGTCTCCCACCTCCGCGGCGAGCGCGCCGGCCCCGCCGCGATCCGGCTGCCCCGCGAGCCCCAGGTGACCGCCGGCGCTCAGCGGACTGAGAGGCGGAGGCCGGGTCGGCCGGCCGCTCTTAAAGGGACGCCCACAGCTCACACGCTCCTCCTGCTGCCCGAGCCTCCGCGAGCCGCTCGCCGGCGCTCAGCGCGCGCCCTGCAGGCCCCGACCTCGCCGCCCGCACACCAGGCGCTGCACCGCCCAGTGCCAGTCAGAGAGCGGGCGCCGCTCAAGGCCAGCCCGGGGCGAGAGCTTTCCACGTGGGCTCCCTTGCGCGTGGCAGAATGGATGGGAATACTCCCTTTATAGAGAGGAGGGAAACCCGGCTTAGTGAGGTTAGGATTCTAATCATTTTCTGGAATTCGTGCATGACCGCAGTTTGCAGTCTTTCACCTTCAGAGGAAGCACTGAAGCTCCATCTCAGGCTGGGAGGAAAGCACCAGGGGACCAACTGGCCCAGGTGCGGAGACTTGAGAAGAAAGGCGGCGGTGAGTTCACGTCTATAGAACTGGAAAAAGGCAAAGGGAACTACTCGATCCTGGGCCTATGGAATCAAAAGCTTGCTGCTCCTTCCCATAGGAAGGGTCCCTCCCTTGCCTTCGCACCCCACGTTGCAGGGGTGTGTGTCTGCATTGGAGCAGGGGTAGGGGCAAGAGCGAAGCAAAGTAGCCCACCTTTCTGTGCACAGGTCATATCACAGGACCTAGAGAACCTTTGGAAGAAGGTGAGACTGTCCTTACAGTCTGTTAGTGTACCGACTGTGTGACCTTGTGCAGCTGAGCCTCCCGTTTCCTCATTCCTACAACAGACAAACATCCCAACACATCAAATGGTTTTCAGATATAAATTCTTATTCTAAGAGTTAAACAAAGAGGCAAATAAAGAGGGATGAGAATGCTGAAAGAATCGGCTACCAGACTCCAACACAACTTTCGCTGGAGGCTTTCCTGTTCCCCTGCTTCTCGTCTTCCATAAATACCTTCTGAGCCACAGTGTTCCCCTCTTTCCTGTTCTTGGCTCCAAACTCCCACAGAGATTCCAGAGAGCTTACTCACTGGATCCTTGATTCCAACCTGCCTCCTGAAGGCATTCCTGTGTTCTAGAGCCTGTGGCAATTTCCCCAGTCCTTGGCCACTGGGATGGTGAGCAAGGGGGAAGGGGGATGGGAAAGAGCCACACCTCTCATGTAGTTGATATGAATGTTCAAAAAAAGTCTTTCGTGTGGAATCCCCAGTATGCTGAGGAGGTTGCCAGAGTTTTATGCTCATTCCTTCATTTTGTTGGGTTTGACCACTCTGACCATGAACAGCCTTGGCTTTGTAATTCCAAAGGACACCAAAGAATCATGCTGTTATTCTTTTTCTCCACCAAACCTCACTCATTCTGGCTCATCTCGCTGGTGGAAAATCTCCAATTTGGAGCTGAGTGTGTACTGAATGCTTTGAATGTTCAGTATGTCAGAATTTGCACTTGGGTCATCCACCCAGACTTTTTCTCTAGGGATTGTCTCTCTTTTCAGATAAGACTCAGAGTCCAGAGTTATCAGTGCACTTGTGGAAGGTTATGGAAGCACACTAGGCTAGGAAGTCCTCCTGTGACTGGGGATAAAGTGCCAGGAGGCTTTGCTATAGATTCTCTCTACATTCTGTGTCATTTCCACATCATTTTATAAATGTCAATTAAATTCCTATCTTTGATGAGATTTTTTTTTTTAAGATTTTATTTATTTATTTGACAGAGAGAGACACAGCGAGAGAGGGAACACAAGCAGGGGGAGTGGGAGAGGGAGAAGCAGGCTCCCAAGGAGCAGGGAGCCCGATGCGGGACTCGATCCCAGGACCCTGGGATCATGACCTGAGCTGAAGGCAGTCCCTTAACCAACTGAGCCACCCAGGCGCCCTAAATTCCTATCTTTGGATGCCTACTCTCAATTAGGTATTCAAGGGGAAGGGGGGAGATGAATAAGCCAGGGTTCTTATCTCTGGAAGCTCACAATGTTGTGTAGGAGACAAACTTCATATATGGAACTATAACACAAGTTAGTAAGGGACAGGCAAGGCTAGGTAAGGAGAGACAGGTAGGGAGGGCTACATGACTAGGCTCCTGCAGGGGGCTACTTAAGGAGACTCACAAATCCCAGATGTGGGGGAAATGTTATACACAAGATATTAACCAGAGAGAAGGGAACACCTTGTTTGTTCTCATGATAGCTACAAGTCCACCTTGTTGGTTCTAAATATAGACAGGATACTCTCATTCATAAATCTACCATGATATTGACAAGAAACTTACCAGGTTCCCTGTTCAGTTTTCTATAAAAGAGGGACCATGAAAGCCCTCAGTGGTAAGCCTTCCAAGAACCCTCTAACTGAAGAGCTTTTTTTCTTTCTTTTCTGTTCTCACCCTCACTTAATAAGCTTTCACTTCACTTTACCCTTTTGTGTTCATGAAATTCTTCAAATCTGTGAGACAAGAACCCTGCAACAGTAGAATGTGGTACAGGTTAGATTAGATTCCAAGTACTATAGAAATGCAGAATCTGCAAAGCTAGCTTCTAGTGGAAGGATCCAGGAAATCTCAGGGGAAGCACTAATATTGGCACAGAATCAAAAGCTTAGAGTCTTTAGCCATACCAAACATCCTACTGGTCCCCAAAACTGGCCATGTGTTTTCAAACCTTTTACATATCTTTCTTCCTTATTTCCCTCTATACAAATCCTACATGACTTTATAAGAAGCATTTTGTTGACATCTCAAAATTGCTTGAACATTGGAATCACCTGCAGAGGGCAAAAATACTGCTACCTGGCTCTCAGGGAGATTCTGATTTAATTGGTTTAGGGTATGTCCTCATCATTGAGTTTTGGGTTGGTTGGTTGGTTGGTTGGTTGGTTTTAAGTTCCCTAAGTAACTCTAAGATGAAACCAAGATTGAGAACCACCACTCTAGATTGAATACCATAGCCCAAAGAGTAAGTCTATGGGTCAGGACCTCAGGTGCTATGGAGGATTGATGAGTCTGAGATATGCCATCCCTCAGATACCTGCTCTCCAAGGAGGACAATCTGATCTGCCTTGTAAGGCTGGATCAGAACACATGTTCATGACCATAAGGCAATAAGAGCCATGCAGGATGGAGAAGTTGATTCCAGACAATGCTCTGTCCAATTACATCAACCTGTGTTGAAAAAGTCAATCCTCTTTGGGTTTCTCATACTTCTGTACATCTTGCTGGATGTACCAAGAATGTACTTTTTCTTTACCTGAGCCATTCTTAGACAACTGGGTAGCATCTCAGCATTTTTGACTCACTAAGTCTAGAATTGAGCCTAAAAATGTGCATTTCTAACAAATCCCTTGCTTTCTTGAACTCTTAACAAGTTCCTGAGGTTCTTTGTGTGAAATCATAGTTTGAGATTCACTTCATCAATAGGATTCCTCATGAACAGTGGTTCTCTAATTTTGTTGTGTATCCAAATACTATTAAAAGACACAGAGGCCCTGGCTTCTTGAAGTCGAATCACGTATGGGCCTTCATGTTTCTACCACATTCCCCAGGAATTCTATATTCACCAAAGTTTGAGAGCTGCTGCTCTAGTTAGCGAATCCCCCCACCCCCACCCCACAGGAGACCTTATTGGTTGCCACAACTAGGGAAGAGGAGTACAGTTGTACTACTGTCACCTAATGGGTAAAGGCTGAGCTTGATGCTAACCGTCCCACAATGAACAGGAGAGTCTCCTACAACAATTATCCAGCCTAAAGTATCAGCAGTGCCCAAGTTGAGAAACGCTGTGATAGAACATGGCTTAAGCACTGCAGATTTTATTCAGTGTCCTTATATTGCAAAGGAGGAAGCTGAGGCCCACAGGTCACATAGATAGGCAGTGGCAGGTAGCATGATTCATTTTATATACTGAAATGTAGAACATGCATGCTTCTTGTCACGGAGCCCTGGTGAATTTTTTAAGAAAGGGAAAAGAAAGAAAAGTGCAGGAAAGTAAGAAGAAGAAAAAAAGATGATGTGGAAAAGGGAGCCATTGGAAGTGGCAGATATTGGAGTGTCTGCTAAGATGGGTATGAACTGGGAGAGTGCAATTTTGCTTTTGTTCCCCATTCCTTAAAAAGTCAGAGAACAGCCAAAGCACAAGAGAATCCATCCAAAAGCTTTAAAAGGGATTCAATCACTTCCTTTTTTATTATATTTGGAATGAATCTTGACAGAAGCTTGAATTTCCTTTTGACTTCTGTTTGCAAGTTGACAGCATCATCATACCCACTTGCTTTAGGGAACCTCCAACAGCAGGAAGGAATTCAGAAAAGAGGAGATCCTCAGATTCTTCTTATTTTCTCCAAATCAGCATAGTTTTTCAAAGCTGACTTCTCTCTTTCCTTCAAAATCATGATGGAACAATAAAAAGTGTCCTCAGACTTCAGCAGGAGACTTAATCAACCCTTTCCATAAAGCAAATCTAATATTTACTTATTTTGATCATGTGTAACCAGGGCTCTTGCTTGTCCCAAATATCTCTGATTCCTTTAAAATGAAAGGAATAATTCTCACTATGCAACAACCCAACCCTGTTCATGCTGTTCATGCTGGCAAAAAGAGAGCTATTTGGAAGACTTTTTTCTTTTTTCTTTTTTTTTTTTTAAGATTTTTATTTATTTATTTGAGAGAGAGCACATGAGAGGGGGGAGGGTCAGAGGGAGAAGCAGACTCCCTGCCAAGCAGGGAGCCTGACGCAGGACGCAGGACTCGATCCAGGGACTCCAGGATCATGACCTGAGCCGAAGGCAGTTGCTCAACCAACTGAGCCACCCAGGCGCCCCTGGAAGACTTTTTTCTTACGCAAATAGGATCATCTGAAGACTTTTTTTTTCCTCCAAATAAACTAGTGTGAGAGGCAAGCCACCAACAATCTATCAGCGAAAGAAAAAAAAAGGCCTCCAAGGAGAAAGAGGGTTTTTTTTTTTTTAGAAAAATTAATATTTAACTTACATTTAAAATCAAACAAGAGTTGCCACATTCCAGGACTGTCTGTTCCCTTCTAATTTCCTTAATAGCTCTGTCCCTGTGCTTACCTTAATTCCTAACTGAGCTCTACAATTCCAAATCAAACAAAACACTGCAAACACTCAGTCCCCACACTCCTGTCATGGAGACATT